ACATTATATTATATTACAGTACATTATTACTACAGAATATTATTTAACAAAATTATATCAATTATTACAAGATTATGGTTAACGACTATTTGAAAGCAAAATTATTTTTTTTAATGTAATAAATATTTTAAAAAAAAAAACAATAAAAAAAGTTAATTAACATAAAAACTGTTAATTAAATATTAATAACAAATAAACTTTTACTCTAAAAATTAATTCTTATAACTGTTTAATGCTTATATCAATTATTTAGAAACCTTTTTACTATTATTATTATTGTTATCAACTTTAAAATAACTATTTTTATTTTTGTAAATATCTAAAATACACAACATTAGTAATATATATTTAGCTATTATATAACTATTAATATTGTTGTGATTTAGGATATGTTAAGCATTAGACACACAAAGAAAAACAGGACTGAAATGAGAGCTCTTCTGCAATCCTTTTGTCCAAATTTTCTCATATTTTTTTGCAAAATTCTCATAACCTTTGCATTGATTTTATATACAATTGCAATCAAATTTATAGAAAAAACAATAATAATGATAAGATTAATATAGGAAACACAATCATAATTATTGTACAAAAGTAAATAAAATATTTTATTTTTTATAATTGCAATCTGACTAAGTTTTTTAAAAATAAAAAATGCTTAAATATAGTACATTATTAGTTTGATTAATATATGGTTAACTATACATTAGATAATAAATTGACCATGGCAAAATAACACAGTTGTAGATATTAATGTAATCAATATTGTAATTGATCTCTTATTTTATATTAACTATATTTAGTAACCATTATATCATTAAGAAACAAAACTCATAGATATTAGCACAAAGAGGATCATTACATGTACTGTATATCTGACCGCTAAATCTCAATATTATATTCAGTAAAAGGATTTAACATATATTGTAAACCTTTTATCTGCATTTTGTACTAAAAATAAAGCTAACAGAAAAAAATTTGAAGACTAATGATATGGACACATGACTAAATCAGATGATTAATATTTAATTAGATAAAAGTATATTATATTAAGTATATATTAAAATAATCAATTTATTAATATGTCTAATAATAAGTTATAAAACAATACATTATACATATACATGTGTAATAATAGTAATTAACTTTTCAAGCAATTAAAAAATATTAACAATAAATATCGTCATTTGTGTAACTTATTAATGAACGTAATTTATCCCAACTCTAATGTATTATAACTTATAATTTATAAGACAATCCTTTTTCTTATTATATTAATGCTCACAAAGTAAACAGTTTGGTATATCATTGCTTTAAAAATATGAATAATACAAATATACAAATTTATTACAATATTGTTTTGCATGTTATTATCAACAACTTTGCCATTTTTTGTTAGTTTTTTGTCTGATATTTTGATGACCAGATAGTAATGGTTTGCGAGTTTTGGATCTCTATTAAGAAAATTATGATTTTAATAAATCTAAGAGTTATCTAACTTTGATAAAAAAGATAAAATTAGTTTAATTTTCACTTATTTATAGTTTTTTTTATTAGTTGTATTTTAAATATAAAATTAGTTTTTATGATATGACAAATAGTTAATAATAATAATTTGCATTTAATTTCAAGTTTAAAATATAACATTAGTATTACAATTTTTATTATTATTTGACGTTAATTTACTTATATATTAATATTAATAGTTTTATTTTCTTATGTACAACTATTAAAATTTTATGAAATCATTTAATAATTTTAAAATAAATATATTTTTTATATATTAAATTATAAAGATTGTCCTCATTTTTTATTCACCAAAAGTTGACTAAAATTTTATCAATATTTTGTCAGATTTACTTGAATTTTACTGAGAAAAAAATATATTAACATCTTTAGGTGTTAATATACATTATGAAAAAGAATATATATATTCAATATAAAACATTTACATAAATTTAAATTTTGTGTATATTTATGACTAAAATAACATATAAGTGGAAACTTTGTTTCACATAAAATAGGATTTATTTTAATAATATAGCGATATTAATATAGGTTAACATTTTTAGCGGTTTAGTGTAAAAATGTGTTATAAAGCAAATAACAAATTAATACTTTAGAATATTGATAAGACATGAAAAATTGATTTATACGTTATATTTATATATTTTATGAAAATTTAATAAAATACACTTTTAAAATGGATTAAAATGTAATTAATGATTGATTACTTATATGATTTGAATAATAATAATAATAATATTTATATAATAATTAATAAATACAGTACATATTATATTTATATTTACAAAACGTTACTAATATTTTGTTGTATAGTATATATTGAAAGATTGATTTGATATAAAAGCATTGTTTGGTTACATTTGGCGATTCCTTTGAAAAATTTGATCAGAAATTTCTAGCATATTTTTTTGAGAAAATTTCTTTTATGGATTTCTCATAATATTATATTAGTTTATTGGAAAATATACGGATAAGGATAAAAAATTTAGAGAACTTTTGATCGATATTTGAAAAGTAATCAAAGCTAATGTCTTATGTCTTATGTGTTAAATTTTTTAAATTTAATAAAGTAATGAACACAAAACAAATTATTAATACTGTATATAAAAATACATTATTATAAATTAGATGTAATATTATTGTTTATCTATTTAATAAAAAATAAACATAAATTGGTGACTAAATACTAATATAAATAAATTTACAGATTTTGTAAGTATTAATAATAAAAAACTAATAAAATTATATCTATTATGTAGTTTTAGAATAAATATATTTTTGGCTTAATATTTACAATTAATTTAAAGATTATATGAATAATGTTTATTAAGTAAATATAGTGTTTTAAAATATTGTTGTTTGTTATATAAAAAACATGATTTAAAATTGAAAATATATGAAATTTAGTTTGAATTGCCAAAACCAGAATTTGTATGACAAACGGCTTAAACCTATTGATTTGAATGACTGACAAATGGATGTGTTGTTAAAAAATTGGATTAAATTGAACGTCACTTTAGTAGAATAGCCGTTGGCCTATAAATTCAATTCAAATCTCAATTTTCTGTGATATTTTAAAATCTCTGCTATACTTATAATGTATTAGAGATTCAAAACAAATTGCTTACAATAATAATAGACATACAGTATTGAGGAAAGTATAGTACAAGACGTGACTGATACTCATCTTTTGTGTTTAACTTATAGACAACCAAACAAACTGTCCAATCGATTGCCATTTTATTATATCAAAGCATATCATAACATATTCTTTTAAAATATCAAATTTTATTTAATTTTATAATAATAGTAACACAACAATAACAACAATTATTATAATAATGAATATCTTCTAAATATTTACTAGCAATATATATATATTTATATATGATTTGATAATATAATTAATATATTTCTAATGGTCTACACAATTATTTCCTAAATTGATTTAGATTTTGTATTTTTATTTTATTTAGTTTACAAAAAATAATTTTATATATTATATAATTATGAGACTAACAAAACAATTATTTAATTAACAAAAAAGCTTATATTTTTAGATTTACATTGCAGAATATGCAATTTTTATATAAATATAAAAAACAAAATAATTAAGAGAAATGATAGCAATGAATTACATTTACACATTTACTAAATATATATACACACACTCCACACATACTTATATACACGCACACACATACTTATAACATATACACATATACACATATACACATATACTTACACATAAATAAATTTACACATATTAGACACAATCTATATATTCTTATGTTTATCAATAATATTCATTTATGATATAAAAGAATATTCATATAAAATAGATAATTATTTATACATTACACGTACTGCAAAAATAATGTAATAATATAATTAATGTATTGTATAATTTTATAATTAATGTTTCCAATTTTATTATCTTTAAATATAACGTTATTTTATTCAAGTAAACTATTCATATCATTATTATAATAAAATTCTCAAAAACAAATAAAATATTTTTATTTTTATTGCATAAATGGTAGTGTAATATAATCACAGGTTAAGAAAAGGTAATTTATTAAAATGATAGCAAATTTTAGCATAAAATGAAAGTTTATTCATATAAGAGTTATTAGTTTAGAAACCAATTGTCTAGTATTTAACATTAAAAATGCTTTACATCTATAATATGTAAGTCATGTAGACTACTACTAAATGTAGTGTAAGTTTTGTGAATATAATACAAGAGTTAGTTCAAGAAATAATGTTTTGTAGATAAGAGTGACATAAATGGATGAATAAATAAAGTAAATTTGCAATTGAGCTCTCATTTAATGATTCAAACTTCAAATTACGGGTTTTCATATAAAAACCTATGTTTATGCTATATATACTGTACAGTATACAGTACGGTATATACAGTAGTATAATACACTTACTTACTGTATATACGGTACAATCAATTGACTTTTTATCAATGTTAACACACAGTATTAACACAATGAATGTAATCATTTATATATCCGTTTTTAAACAAATACAGTATTATTGCCAATCAAGAGTTACAACTGTTTTTCAATCAATTTCTAATATAATGAGAGATAAAAAAATCCTTTCTTAATTATATTGTATCATATTTAAGGTTTTTATTGTTAAATGAATTAATTGTTATTAGTTTTGTATTTAATAGTATGTTTTATAATGTTTTTAATTTCAATTAATTAATAAACAACGATTTGAATGTCACATAAGTTCTATTAGTTAACTACTATTTTATGAATTATCAATTTTATTTAATTTATTTTTTAGTAAATCGATATAAGCATGACCTTGATAGTATAATTTAAGTAATGTTTTTCATTGTGGTGTTTTTATTTTTATATTATTAAATTGTTTTTATATTTAAAAATAGATTTCTTTTTATATCTTAATATATTTTAAGTAATAATTTGATATATTTTATTTGAAATTAGGTTCAATCAATAGTTTGGACGATACTTATCAATGTCCGGACGGAACTAATCCAACTATTCGTCAGAAAAAGATATCGGGAGTATTGGGCGCCGCCTCCAGTGCCACATCAATACAAGTGGCAAATCTATTGAGATTATTTAGGATACCACAGGTTAGTTGATGTTGTATTGTTTGTATTAATAGTAATTGTTTGCATTACTAATAAAATGCTATTATATTAATAATATTTGATTTGTAAATTAAATAATAATCGTTTTGCTAAATACTCTCGAAAATTGTCACGAAATACTACATTATATACTGCATATAAATACTTATAGTTATCGGCGTGTAGTTTATACAGTATATACAAAAGACTGTGACTAGAAATGTCTGTAATTTTATTCAATTTCTACTGTATATAAATAATAGAAAAACTTATAAAATATTTATATATAAATGCTACTCTTAAATAATTGAAATCTTTTATTATTTTACTAGTATTGATGATAAATATTATTTTAGATCAATACAAATTGCAATACAGTAAGTACATTATGCAATTTAAAATGCCATATATTTGCTATAATTTTATATGTTTGGTAAATATCTAATAAGCATAATATTAGTTTTAAACTAAAGTATATATATATATAGTTTAATTAATAACAGACTGCAAATATGCGATAAGAGAATATTCTTTAATAATAACATTTCACAGTTTTAAGAATTTTTTGCGTTAAATCTCTTTATTTTTGATTAAATATAATTTAAAAATATTATTATAAAGATCTGTCAATTTATTTATTACATTATATGTTTGATTATTTTATGTGAAATAATGTTTTTTAAATTAATTTTTACGAATTTCCAATGATATAGACTATATTTTTTTTAATGTACTCATCACTTAAATTAATTTGTCATTATTATTATTTTTTCTATATAACAAAAATATATATAAACATTTTGCTTCAAATTTTTAGTGTCTTATAAACTAATTTTATTGTATTTATTGTTAATATATTTATTATATTGCAAAATTTTATTTAAAACCAGTTGAGAATGCTAGAAAGCATTTCCACACGAATTCCTAATCATAATTAAAAATTAAATTCAGTATGATAAAATAAAATCAACTATAGTTATGTAGGGTATCAAACGATTTAGTATTACAAAATAAACTACTATTTTCCTAAAAAATAAACTTAAAAACGAAAAAAATAAAAAATCAATATTCAAAAAAATTCAAAAAAAATTCAAAAAAAAATTCAAAAAAAAATTCAAAATTTTTTTTATTAATTATTGGACACCATTTTGTTTTTTTTGCTTAAAAATAAACTTAAAAATAAAAAAAATTAAAAAAAAACAAAAAAAAAAACGTAGCTGAGCCTGGATTCGAACCTATGTCCTCGTGGGACAGACAGACCGACAGACAGACAGACAGACCGACTTATAGATTTCATATACGTATTCCTTTCAGGAATTCGTGAATATATAATAAAATTTTTGAAAGAAAATAAATTTTATCGATAATATAAATAATAGAAAAATCAAATTTAAATAACGGAAAGGCTGTTGAGTTGAATGGACCAAATGGTATGCCTTTCAATACAAACACATAATCTCTTTTCAGACCAAAGTTGGTATTATTGGTCTTAACTTTGGTATTGATTTAATGAAAATTCAGCAATTCTTTAGTGAATATATCACTCAATTCGTTATATTCTTATAAGTTTTGTTTGCTATTCAAACAATACAAATAACACATAGACGACAATACAGTTATAACAATAGAGTAATACTATACTAATAACAGTGCAAACACTGACTTTAATATAATAATAGTGAATATAAACTATACGTTTGTTAACAAATGTCCAACAAATCATACATTTATACCGAAATTCAAATCTTATGTCGAATAATAACATTTAGTAAAAATAAATCACTAATATTTAAAAATTAACCTAAAGTTTAAATGATTTTTCTAGTAATTAATTTAAGCTAAAATATCTATTTATAAATAAATAATATTAATTAAGATTTTATGTCATACAAGAGTATGAATTGTTTAGGTATTAATCAAAATACTTAAAAATTAATGACAACTTTATGGTGTGATGAGTATATTTGATATCGATTTTGTATTTCTAATGTAATTAATTAAAATCTTAATTAACTTCAGCATTAAGTATAAGAGTAATTGAAATGTAGTGAAATTTGTTTGTTTTAGTTTTATTAGTATCGATAATATATTGAAATCGACTCTCAATAATACAACAACAATAATAATAATATTTATTATATTATATTATATTATATTATATTATATTATATTATATTATATTATATTATATTATATTATATTATATTATATTATATTATATTATATTATATTATATTATATTATATTATATTATATTATATTATATTATTATTATTATTATTATTATTATCAACGCAAACGGATTACTTGTTAAATAAGTGAGATTTTATGTGAATTTTTATAATTTTGTATAATGTATTTAGGGTACAAAACTGATCACATTATAAAACAAGTGGTAACTGAAAATCAATGTACTTATTGTTGATTTGGGAGTTATTTGCCTATCGATGCAAAAACATTGACAAATGCTATAAAGTTATCGCCAAAAAATCGCATCAAACTTAATGTTTTGCAGTTTTAGTTTAACAACAACTCAAACACAAAGCCAAATATAAGATTTGATATAACAACCAAAAAACTGTTTGTTTGGTTTCTTTATAAAATAACAAAACAACAAATTATAAACTTGTGTTTAAAAAAACTACTTTAAGATAGTGAGAGAAGAAGTTGTTATATTTTTATACATACAATAAAATGATGTATTTTTCAATGAAAATAAAGACATAAAAGGTGGTCACATAACTACATAACTTAATATTTTGCTATTGTTTTATAGAAACTATAATCTTATATATATATATATATATATATATATATATATATATAGTATATACTATTTTCTAAGTTATACCATTCAATATAAATACATATAAACTGTATTATTTACTGTACATAGTATTACATACAATATCATATACTTTCAAAAATATATATCATATAAATGGCTTTATTGTGAGCCTTTGATAGCACTTAATCTCTTATAAATTCTTATTGATTACAAACTCAGTTAACCATAAATTGGTAACAAATTTCATACTCTCTTTAGTGTTGTATTTATTTTATTATTTTATAGCATCAGATGTATTATAATTTTAATTTAAGTTTACATTTTATTAATTATACGAAACAAAATATTTACAAAATGTTAGAATATATGATCCATTTCTAATAAATTTCTATTTAATATATTTATAATTATAGTTTAGTGTATTGTATTGTATTGTTATAATTTAATGGCTATTATATGTTTTGATGCAATAGTTGTGTGATTTATGTGATTAATGTTAAGAAATATTAGTAGAAGTGGTTTCGTTAGACATAACATCACAAATCCTATTAATACAATGATTAATAAGTTATTAAATAAACAATTTATTTACTCTTTATTTATATTATATTAATATTAAACAAGTCAATGATCCATATATTGTTTTATTTATTGTAAAAATATTATGCTATAAAAGTGGACCCTCTATTGAAATTAGCTTTAGATGTAAAGAAACTCCACTAAACATATAATAAAATTCAATTCAATTATGTAATTATAAAATGATTATTATTTAAATATAAATATTATTTTTTAATTAATGTTTTAATGATTTAGCATTTCCAATTTTAAATAATTAAAAATATTAATTAAGAATTTTTATTATGTCTAATAAAAACACTATTTTTTATATTATATGCATAATAAATGATTGAATTGCCTGAATCTATATTTAATTAATTAATATACAGTATAAATATATATATATATATATATCAGGGTTAAGCATGGTTTTGGATTTTAGGGGGGGGGGGGTAGACCGGTGTAAAATTTACAAAATTCTCGAAAAATCTTGGGGGGGGGGGGTATTGGGTGGGGTAAGATTTTTATTGCATTTTTAAACGGCAATTTTTTCAAAAATCCAAAATCTAGGGGGGGTCAAGAGAAAATTCCCTAATATCTCTTAAATTCCCGAATATTCCCATGTAAATTCGATAAAGTTCCCATAAGTTCCCGTATAAATTCCCAGGAAAATAGGTAAAATTTCCAAAAATACAAAAAAAATTAAAAATTAACAAAAACTTAAATTTTAACAAAAAATAAAATAATAATGTATTTAATACTTAAAAATAGTTGATAAAAGCATTAATGATACAGTATGAGTTTTTTTTAGTATTTTAGTAATTTTTAACTTTTAAAATAATTAATTTTTTAAATAATACTAAATGTTTATAGATATATATTTTTATTTTTTAATGTTATTTTTATATGAATACTGACTGAATACTAATTATAAAATTGAAAATTTTTTAAATTTTTTAGTTAAAATTTTTAAAATTATTAATAAAAACCTTGTAATATAAGCATTTATTGTTTTATTAACTTCTTAAACTATTTTAAACTTATATTTAAATTGTAATATGAGTACTCTTTTCAACAAATAGGTAATTTTTAATTTTTTAGTTTAATATTTTAATTAAAATTATGTTATTTTTAGATGAGTTTTAACGTTATTTTAACTTTTTTACTTATTTTTAATCAATAATTAGATTCTTATAAATATTAAAAACATAAAAACTTACTAAAATAGTATCAACTAAAATTAAAATTTTTATAAATTTCAAAAAAATGTTCGGCGCCTTAGGCGCCGAAATTTTAGGGGGGTCATTTATCGTCGTTTTTAAGCGACAATTTTTTCAATTTCGTCAAAAAGTCTGGGGGGTAAAATCCCAATTTCTCGATTTTAGGGATTATTTGGATTATTTTTGCCTTACCCCCCCCCCTTACTTAACCCTGATATACTGTATATATATATAAATATAACTAAATAGTGTTTTATCGACAAGCAATTTACACTTTATTATATATAAAAAATATGGGTTTAAATTATCTATTAATTAATGATGGAGTTATGTTTTACTTTAGGTTATATTGTATTTTTTGCTTTTTAAATTAGCACGAAATGTATGATTTAATATGAAATATGATAAATATTAAATAACACTAAAATACTATA